TGTAGATTTAATAACTTCATATATCTTATAAATTACAATCTATTTATAATTTTAATATAATTTAATATTTTATAATTCAATAAGCTGCAATTGTAAAAATAATGTTTCTCTTACATAAATAAGGATCTAGCAAGGATCCATGTCCTTGAAGGGAATTTGCTGTCCCCTGTCCTCCCTGGAAACCAGAGCCTCGCTGACACCTTCTCTTTGTAAACAGCAACAACGAAGCCCCAAGTTAAGGATCTGAGCTTTTCACTGGCCTCTGCTCCAAAAATCCATTATTTTCTGAACAGCAGATAAGCAGGAGCTCTGGCTGCTTTCCCGAGCCTGACTTCACCCAACAAATTAATTGCTTGTAGCACGTCCATTACAGTTGTCCAAGCTGACCTCTGCCTGCGCGGCAGCCTCAGCCACATCCCCAATATTTGAACAATTGTTTCATTCCTCCTTCCTGCTGGGCCATCACCCTTTGGGCTGCTTCCTCTGGCTGCCTGTACCACCAGGATTTTGTGTTTGCTCTGCCAGCTGCCCAGATAAAGGCAATGTTTAATTATACAGCAGCTCTGACAGTGGATCCTCCTGTGATGGAGATCACACCACGCCCCGAAGGACGCCAGCCCCTTCCTTTCTGGCAGAGCCTTTGCTTATCCAGTAGCAATTTGGCTGAATCTTATTTGACAGGCAAGTTAGGAAATGGTTTTGAATATTCTCTTGGATGTGTTTAACCACTGCTTACTTCTAAACAAATTCTCTTGCTAAAAAGATCAGGCTTGGGCTGGGTTTGCTTGTTGGGTTTGGTCTGTTTTTCTGGTTAATTTTTGGTTTGTTCTGTGTTTTTGGTTTGCTTTGGTTTGATTTTTCTGGTGAAGCAAATCTCCCCAGGAGGAGATGAAGTGTGTCCCCAGCACTGCAAAGCCTCAGGCAACGGGAGGGTGGAGAGACCCAGGTGGGACTTTGGTTCTGGGTGCCCTGGGCCTACCTGGGGTGGTAGCAGTGCATCAAACCCCAGTGCTGAGCTCCTGGCATGTCCTTCTTTGGGTGAGAAAAGCAGAATTGCTTCACTCTTACCCCAGGAGGTCTCCAGCCTGGGCAGGTGTGAGGACAGAGGTCCCAAGGTGAAGAATGTGCTCAGTGCCTGGGAGCTTGTGCTGGGAGCTGGCTTGGGCACACCAGAGACTCACTGTGGAGTGAAACACAAACCTCACATGGCCACGATTTCCCCCATTTCCACAGGCTTCTCTCAATGGCCCATTAAAGACACAAAGTGCTGCTTTCCTGCACCAACATCCCCTCCTGAGCTGCTCAGGATTACAGCTGCAGCTTTCCCAGGATGGAGCATAAGGGGAAGCACTCATGGCTCTGAGAGTGGGGGAATGGACATGACTCAGTTTCCCTCAGGAACTGCTGGTCGAGTGCTCTGAGTGCTGAATGCTCTGAGTGTGGCTCTGAGTGCTGAATGCTCTGAGTGCTGAATGCTCTGAGTGTGGCTCTGAGTGCTGAATGCTCTGAGTGTGGCTCTGAGTGCTGAATGCTCTGAGTGCTGAATGCTCTGAGTGTGGCTCTGAGTGCTGAATTCTCTGAGTGCTGAATTCTCTGAGTGCTGAATGCTCTGAGTGCTGAATGCTCTGAGTGCTGAATGCTCTGAGTGTGGCTCTGAGTGCTGAATGCTCTGAGTGCTGAATGCTCTGAGTGCTGAATGCTCTGAGTGTTGCTCTGAGTGCTGAATGCTCTGAGTGCTGAATGCTCTGAGTGCTGAATGCTCTGAGTGCTGAATGCTCTGAGTGCTGAATGCTCTGAGTGCTGAATGCTCTGAGTGCTGAATGCTCTGAGTGCTGAATGCTCTGAGTGCTGAATGCTCTGAGTGCTGAATGCTCTGAGTGCTGAATGCTCTGAGTGCTGAATGCTCTGAGTGCTGAATGCTCTGAGTGCTGAATGCTCTGAGTGCTGAATGCTCTGAGTGCTGAATGCTCTGAGTGCTGAATGCTCTGAGTGTGGCTCTGAGTGCTGAATGCTCTGAGTGCTGAATGCTCTGAGTGCTGAATGCTCTGAGTGTGGCTCTGAGTGCTGAATGCTCTGAGTGCTGAATGCTCTGAGTGCTGAATGCTCTGAGTGTGGCTCTGAGCTGGGCAGGGATTCTTCAGGTGCAGTGGGACAGGGGATGTTGCTCAGCACATGTGTGACACACTCACTGCTGGGTTTAGTCAGCGCTGCCTCACTCCAGCTATTCAGCAATCCCAACGAGATCATGGAATGACAGAATCGTTTTGCTTGGAAAAGGCCCTTCAGATCACCGAGTCAGATTTTCTCCCAAGGAAAACACAGCAGTGGCAGATGCACAGGCTGTTATTTACATTTAGTTTCCTGTCTGAGAGGGCCAGATTGGCTGTAGGTAGCTCAGAGCACAGAGGGGATGGAGCTCAGGTACAGTGAGAAGGAGACCACTGCAAATTTGAAGAGTTCAACATAAAAGGCAGGAAACTGAAAACTGATAAACAGGATTTTTCAGGAGATGTCCAGTGGTCCTTGTTAGCACAGCAGCCAAGTACTCAGCAAGAGTGGGAGAGGGACTGGGCACCTCTATGGATATCAGGGGTATCCAGAGTAATGATTACTGTATCAATTTTTGTAATGTAATTAGAATAACCTTTCATGCTTCAGGTCTTAAACCAATAAAATCAGGAAGAGAATAAAGATATCTGCATACTGCAAAACTGTCCTTTTCTTCTGGTACATCTGCTGCTAATCCAAGATGAGCTGCCCTGATCAGCTGTGGCAGTCCCTGTGCTCCTTAGGGAACCTGGTGTGGGATCTGGACACTGATTCTTTAGGGAAACAAAGGTGTGAGGAAGAGGAGGATGAAGTAGAGAGCAGATGGGCTTTCTTTGAGAGGACAGAAGTTTATGTGATTAAATATGAATAACTGCAAATTTGCCCAATGGAAAAAAAAAACAATGCAAACCAGGAAGTTTTCAAAACCATGAGGTGACTTCCAGCAGAACAATGGGATTTATCAGAAGTGATTTGTCTCCACATCCTTTCTGAACTGGAGCACTTGAGGCAAACTTGAGGCTCCAACCACAAGAGTCAGAATCTTTAATAATAATAATAAACAGAGGTAAGATTCTGACTGAGGAGCTTTAAGTGGGCAAGAGGTAAATAATCACTAGAGTCTCCCTGGGTGTGCACATCGAGATGGAAAAGGGGATGGAGCTGGTGCTAACAAGGGAGAGCTGGGAAGGAAATCCCACTGTGCAGCAGATGAAGAGCTGGGATGTGTGCAAGGGATGGGGCTGGGGCTGGTTCAGAGGCTGGGACAGGGCTGGGAGTCTGAGCACTGTGGAAATTCCCCGAGGAAATGGCTGGTCCTTCAGGTCCCTTCCAACCCCGCCCATTCCGTGGCTGGCCGTGTAAAGGGAATCACCTTTTGAAGACGTGTGGGTGACCTGAGGGTGGGCAGGCCCTGGCACAGGTGCCCAGAGCAGCTGGGGCTGCCCCTGGATCCCTGGCAGTGCCCAAGGCCAGGCTGGACATTGGGGCTGGAGCTCCTGGGACAGTGGGAGGTGTCCCTGCCATGGCAGGGATGGGATGAGACAATCGTTGAGGTCCCTCCCAGTACAAACCACTCTGATCCTGTGACTGGGCCGGTTGCTACACACGGGGTGCGCTGGCCCAGGGTGTGTTAGGGACCAAGTGACGAACAGCGGCTACACCTGCTCCGGTATTTATGAAGGAGGAATTAAAGGCTGTTTCAAAAAAAACTGTGTTTGGTGCGGTGGGAACATCTCTCGGATGCGTTCTGCATTAGCCCGGCATCGGGAATGTGGCAGGGTACGGATTTGCTGGTCAGAAGGGAATGGCAACAGGTGGTGTCCCTTTGGGTGTCAGAGTTTCAGGGTGAAGGGAGCAAAACCAAGGTGTTCCAGCATCCTCGGATCCGGGTGTGCAGAAGGAAAAAGGGTCTGGAGTTCTTAAAATAGAACACGATCAGCTGCATTACTTCGGGTTTGGGAGCACGGGGTTACATCCGAACTCCTCCTCACCGCTCCACGGGTACCCACCGCGGCGGGCGGAGGATCCCGTTCCCACGGCACAATCCGGACTGATGCTTTGGATGCCCTGGGCTGGCTGGATGCTGCCGCTGTCCCCGGCTGTCCCCGAGCCCTGCGGTGGCACCGCCGGGAGAGCGAGCGGGGGAGCGCTGCGCTCCCCGCCGGGAGAGCGAGGCGGAGGAGGAGGAGGCGGAGGAGGAGGAAGAGGAGGAGGAGGA